GCAGACACTACAAACACCTTCTCCTTAACCCTTAACCCAAGGAGATACATATCCCGGTTCCATGGCCAGCAGGACCTTGTAAGGGGTCAAGAACTACAAAGGCATCAGTTGCTGCAGGAAAGCAGATTCAGGCCAAAGCTCACAGTAGAGAATGGGTACAGCGAGTCCCAATCAGAGTTATAGCCATCCATCACAACAGGGGTAGGCGCGACATCCATTCACGATGAACAGGGGTAGGCGTGACGTCCGTCGCTCCAGAGCCATTCATGTAGGCGTCTCAATGAGAATGCACATGCACTCTAACATTACACCAACTGAAATGGCGTCATCTGCAGCTCCTGGGCTTGGCAATGTGCTGTCCAAACAGTGCTTGGAAGTCCAGTCCCAAGACTGAAAAAAGACTGAGACTGGACTGGACCAAGACTGCCCAAGACCGGAAATTCCCAGGACCGTCGAAGACCGCAACTGCGGTCTGGTCTTCGGTCTGTCATGATTTCGAAAATTTGAAGACCGTGAAGACCAACAAAAGACCAGTTTAACCAGTCTCAGCCGGAACTCGTAACCAAACACAAACACCAAACACAAACACAACTCATAGCCAAATACAAACCCAAATACAAACACTTCTACCACCTTCCCCATCACCGTCACCACCTTTCGTGACTACCAATTCACATCGTGAGCGCCCGCGATGGGCTAAACGACCTGTTTGCTCACACATCGACCACCACCTCACACACTGGATGCTCAGCAACAACATCCATGACCACAGCGCAACAAGCGCCTGCGATGTCGACAGCGGATGGAGATGACGCGGCACATCAAATGGTGAGTACAGTGCATCGTAAGCCCTACCGGTCCCCCTATTTATCCTCACAACACCCAGCAGCCATCGTCACACCCGCCAACCACTGCCATGTCACTCCCTCGCCCTCTGCCACCTTTGGTGTTGACGACAACACACGACGACGGCCATGTGACAACGATGGAGATAGGTGGATGACGATAACACAACATGGCAGCGACAACAGATGACCACCACGACAATGGACGACCGATAGACGATGTGAAGAATATGAGACGGGCGACGATGGACAATAACAAGGATGCATGAGTGCTCCCCCCAAGGGGCAACCACCTGAGCATCCGGTTAGGACAACTGGTCCCATCGGGGTCGTGGGAGTCAACACGTGCAATCCCAAAATGATTGTCACGCCCGCACTCATTTAGCACGTGCCTTCAACGTTGCTTCAACACACTCCACAGATTCAATTGAAGACCCTTACCATAACACATAAAATATCTGCCTTGCATGTTGTGTTTTCACCATAGACAGGCTTTTCAATTGATTTGTTGTTCCTTCCCCCCATTCTCACTGAAAGAAATGCCAAAACCTCGACCCGCAGCTGAAGATCCAAAGGAAATTCAACTCCCTGGCGCTCCTAGGATAACAACCACAATCAATAATATTACTGGGAAGCACAGTATTCAATGTGATCTTTGCAGTACGGACATTTCTCCGACAACAACAGCAAATCCACAGAACTTTCTGCTTCACCGTGGTATGGGACCATGCCTACAAACACAAAAAAATCAAGGTCTTCCACTGCCTCCTCCTCCACCATCTATTGTGCCTTGGATAGTGGTTACTGGAGTGCAAGAAGTTCCTTGCTCAGGTTTGGGTATCAAGTGGCTTCCAGGCTCAATCTGGGAAACTTATCCATATCATCGACATGAGGTGAAAGTGATGGGATGGAAACCTGTCTCGTTTGGAGAAGAAGAAAATGAAATATATCTTCAATCTAAAAGATGCCTCAAAACTATTCTCAGTACAGACTACCCACCTTGCGCAGAGTGCAAAATGCTCGAGTATTCTTCTCATTTTATCGAATTTATGGAACATGCTACAGAGGCAAAGAGCCATACACCTAACTGATCTATGTACAGATAAGAATTTGTGACTACTACTGTGACATTTGGATGCACGTGTCAAATCAGGCTAAATCCCACGACCCCGATGGGACCAGTTGACCCAACTGGATGCTCGGGTGGTTGCCCTTGGCTCCCCCTGCCCCCCTGCCCCTCGTTGTTCACCCTCATGTAGTACTTGTATATTTAGTAAATTACATACACATTTTCCCCATGTCAGTAGCTACAAGACCAGTCCTCAACCAGTCTCAACCAGTTAAGACTGAGACTGGTTGAGACTGGTCTTTCAACCGACAAAAACCGATGAAAACCGCACTGAACCAGTTGACATTGGTTCAGTCCAGTTTTTCGAGGTTTGTCAACCTGTGAGGACCGGTCTCAGTCCCGGTCTTGTCAAATTTTGACAAAAGACCGGACTTCCAAGCACTATGTTCAAATGGGAGTTGACAAGCACCGCATGCTCCTTGCCCTCTAGCGTGCTGTCTGAGACTCTGACAATGATGTTGGTGGATTAACATAGGTCTTGTAGAGATGTTTGCCCATCATATCAAATCTTTGAAGAAGGGGTTAAGCAAACCAAGATCAAGATGCATTGTTGTACACACCTGTGGCTCCCACTTCCTTCCCATCTCCACACCTCACCTCACATTCCAGCTTCCTTCCACTTTCCGCCATTAGTTTCTCACAGTTCTTCTTGACCTCTTCCGCTTGTGCAACCATGTATTTGTCCGCCAGGGCATGTTCCAAGGTGCCTACAGTCCGATAACCAATGTCTTCTGATAGCTGCTTCACAACGCCAAGGATTCGCGCTTCTGAGATATGAGGCAGGCCCGTTACAGATTCAATCTACAACCGTCAGCTCGGGACCAGAAAGAACCTGCTCAAAAGTATACTTACAGCCCAGTCAAAGCTGCAGGCAGATCTAGTTGCGTATAAGTTGGCAGTTCCTATCAAGAAGTTTGCACTTACAGTGATGTCGCCTGTAAGCCAACCATGGTGAACCAATGAGAACAGGCAACAATACAAGCAGTGAGAGCAGTGGGCCCCATCGAGAACAATGAGACATAGCGACAAAGTAGAGAAAACCTGAGACAGAGCCCTTTTAGAGGAGGTGGAAGCGGTGCTACCAAGGTTCGCTCTTTGAGTATGAGTAGTGCTTGGAAGTCCAGTCCCAAGACTGCAAAAAGACTGCAACTGGACCGGACCAAGACTGCAAAAGACCGGACCTGCAGTCTTGGTCTTTCAGTTTTGAGATCACAAGACCGCAAAAAAACCGGTTTACATGGACCGGTCTTGTCGGTTAAGACCGGTCTTTTGTACCTACATAAAAACCCTTCAAAACGCACCTAAGATCATATTTTTAGGATAAAAACTGACAAAGATACATAAAAAACTGTAAAATATTTCGTGAAAATAGCAGATGTACCTTAGTATTTTTGTATATACATCAATTCTCATCGTAATTTAACGTTCTTGCACTCGTTTAGAAGCTACGAAGAATGTTAATAAAATTACCGACTCACAATTGCAAAATTTATGGCATATTTAGCTGAAAAACTGGGGTAATTGGCCTGAGAGGGGGCCTTCCTAAGCACTGATGGCGGTGATGGCTAAAAATATACTTGCTTCGAATCATCAATTTTCTTAGATTGCGATCTCTAGCTCTAACAGTGCTTGATGAAAGCACTCCTTGCACTCTGGCTGCTCCTGGCGGTCCCTGCGCTGGGGGACTTAGATATATCAGTTGTCCATTGCAAATATCACGTGCGCTTTCACTCTTTCCTTCTTTTCTTAGCTTTCCCGCTGCAGACACTCCCCAATGATGCGACTAAGCAAGTCGCGTGCCCAACAGCCTGCCACCAAGGGCTTCAGGCGAGTCTTCCATAGTCCAAAAAAGCGACGCAACAGTTGTAAAACCTCAACACAGGTCACATATCTCGGACAAGTGGATAAACTTTGTCGTGTGCAGGAAGTTCTGGCCAGACTTCTGGCAGACCCTGGGGAGGAGGAAGACGATGAAGGGGGAGATGAATGTGAGGGAAGCATGGAGGTTCCAGGAGATCTGGGCAACTCAGGGTCGGGCTTCGCTTGGGGGGAAGGGGACAGGGATGGGGACGGGGATGACTTCTCCATGCCAGATAATGGGATAGACGTGGACTTGTGTCCTAGCACCCCTCAAAAATCCGATCCGATACCACCAAAGACGCCCATTCCTGCAAAAGTACAACGCACTGGCCCAGATGCAGAGGCCAACCTCCTTTACCAGCAGTGGCAGGCTCTCATTCCCCGCCTCGTGTCCCCGTTCCTTTCCTTCATCTCAGCTACCCATGGAAAAAAGACCTTTCCCCTCAATGGGGTTTGTTCAATGTGTCTCAAAGGGGACATATGTATCACAAAATCCAGAAAAGTCCTTTGTCTTTTTTTTGATCATACGTGCCACATCGTCTTCTCAACAAGCCATTCTTATACATCCTTCTGGCAGATTTTGACACTTTCGAGGTCACTAGTTGTGAATGTCAGGACATTATGGAAACCCTCATCCTTCATGGTCTCTTTCCGACATCGCCCACCCAACCCTGGATGGCTGTATCCATTATTCTCATACAACACTACAACACTCTTTTTGAATGTGCATGGGATGCTGTATACGCATATTCTCATGCTGTCAACCTAGTTTATGGATGCCGAGGATTTGTCCACCGCAACTATCAGGTTCTCCATCTGATGCTTATTACCCACCCTTTTTCTTACAAACTCTTCATTTCAGGGGGAGATCATTCAGGACGCCTTCCGTCAAGGCCTAGGTCATGCCATTCAGTGGTATGACAGCCTGCAAGTTCAGATTGAACAAGAACTCAAAGCAGCGACTGTGGCTGGTGACGCCACCACTCCTTGCTCCTCGGAAACCAACCTGGCTACCATCACCACCCCTGAGGCACCCATACCCAAACAGTTGACCCCTGATTACAGTCTAGCAGAACCTCCTCTGTCCCTTGTCAAGTTGACTCCTGATGACAGCCCACCCGAACATCCTGTGCCCCTTGTCGAGTGCGCGAGGGTTCTACAGCAACGCTGTCCAGCTTGCTTTGGATTGCGGACGTTTGGGTGTTCGGGAGCAATGTATGTATAGTGTTTGCAGGTCCAGTCTACAGGACTGAAAATATACATAGGACTGAACTGGACTGAACCACGGTCCGGTCTTTTTCCAGTTGCAGTTGCCCACATTTGTGGTCAGTCCAGTTGCCAGTTGCCATGTTTTTGTAAATATATAAAAACCGAAAAAGACCAGTTTAGACCGGTTGCAACTGGTCTTTCGTCCCATCACATGCTGGACCTTACTCGTGCACATTTTACTTAATTCTCGGTCCCTGAATCATCAAAAACGGTCAAGAATTGGTTGAGATATGGCCAAAAACATTTTTATACATGTGATTCAAATGTACGTCCTTTCTGTTTTCACCCTACCTCAGTCAAATCTTGACGGAATTGCTTAGATTTTTGATCAGTCTACAGAGAATTAAAATATCTATCTACGTATGCAATGTACGTGAGGTAATATTTAGTTTCTGTGGTGTAATAAATTTTACAACAAAAGACCGGTCTTTTTCGTGTTGTGGACCGATTAGGACCGGTCCAAAGCAGTCCGGTTGCGGTCCCTCAATATTTGGATCGGTCTAGACTGCTTACAGTTGCCAGTTGCGTCGTTTTGAGGTAAAAAACTGGACTTAACTGGACCTGCAAACACTACGTATGTACCATTACTACCATGTTGCAGGCTATGCTGACCAGGATGTTCCCAGAGGCACTGATTTCATTGTCGCCACTGATGGCAATTTCAGCCAATGCCACAGAAAAGATGCAGGCGATTGTCCTGAGTTCTACAGGCCAGAATGCTTTCTTACCAAGGCATATGTCGACAATGTTGGAAAACACATCACGGAGGCGCAGGGCCAGCCTCCCTGAGCTCGCAAAGCCGCCAAAGTACCAGATGAAGCAGTGGATGAATGTGAAGATGGGCATGACTCTGGCAGTGGGTTGACCATCAAAATGAATATGGATCACTATGACGATGGAGGAGTGATGGCTCTTGTTTGCCACCATGATGCCCCCCTCTTCCTCGCCACCATCAACACTCCTGGTGAGCAGCAAAAGTATGCTGTTTCCCTCATAGAACATCTGTTTTCCCTTCTGCCTCCAACAGCCACGGTGACCATTCTCTATGATGTTGCATGTGTTCTTGATCGCAGCCTTAACTTCGTAAGTGCGCCACTACATTCACACATCTCTTCCTCACCACAAGCCAGTTTGACATACTTCCCGAAAGCCTCACCAGTCGTGCTGACTTTGGCACCAGTCCCATGCATGCCTACGTTCATCAGTGGTCATGCCAACTCATCTACAACCCACGTATTTGAGAAGGACCTGGCCTTTCTGATGGGGAGGGCATGGAGCGTTTTTGGTCCTGTTTACACAAAATGATTGGTGTGACTTAGGTTTCAGCAGTACAATATCCATGAATACTAACCTTCCTGAGCTTATCGACCTTTCCACAGCGACGACAACACATCTGGATGCTTGATCGTCAATCCTGTTCCATAGGAGCTGAGCTATGGGATGACCTCAGTGATTGGATCCGGCAGAGACTCAAGACCATCGCAACTGAAGAAAATGAGGTGCAGAAGATTTTGAGCAAATGCGGTGTACCAGTGAGTGAGTTACGGACTCAGTGGGGGTTACAGAAAGCAGCCCAGCTTCCTATCCGTGCTCGTTAGTCACCAAGCCATTCTATCTCTCAAATTTTCTAATTCTAAAGCACCAGATGCCCCTGCCTGTCTCAAGAAGGAACTGGATGCCGTGCTTAAGCTCCAAACCACCATTGACACCACCAATGATGCCATTTCTTGCCTGGCCGATTGATTCTCGAAATCCACATTAAGCAGCTTAGCTAGAACTCAAGAGTGTTTGAAGGAGAAGGTCGAACAACCCTATGCATCATTAAACATTCAGGACTCGTTCCCTGAACTTGAGGATATTGACCTGGACTTCGTAAAACTCTTGGTGCTAGCACGCGATCTCAAAATAAACATCCGCAAGCGGGCCATTGGGAGTTTTTTTGAGTGGGATCTGTTGGATCAAGCCACTGGGGGACGTCAACATGCTATCGGCTCGTTTTGGTGTGTTGTATCTAATACACCGCGACAGGCACAAAGATTCACCAAAACACGCAAAATGCGATTGCGAAACACAAGCCAGCTCTTCTCAGGGCTATTCTAAAATTCAACAACTACTGTGAACAACTAGCCGCAATGTACTGACCTGATTGGGAGCTGCCACTCCCAGACACTCTCCCTGTCAAACTCAATGACTTGCGCAACAGCCCGTTGCTCATGGAGGAGGTTTGGATCACTCGTACTGCGCCAGAGGTTCCACGTTGGCTTGAGGAAGTCTAGGTTCAGGTGGGAATATGAGCAATGTTAAAGCTCAATCACTACTTGGAGGAACACCGTCGATTAGGTGTTGAGGCGGACAATCTTTGCCGCTGGTTTGGACGGGAGCTCCTTGCCCTTGAAACAGCTGTGTCGTCACCTTCCAGTGAGTCTTTCCCCTCCAACGAGAATAAAATTATTAACCCTTGGTAGACCAAACTATCCAGACACTTCTCAAGAGCCGTCATGATCACCTGATCTCACTCAAGTCTCGTTGGAGCAATACACTTGCTTCCAGCCCTAGGTTCAACACACATGTTCAGGCTGCCTTGAAAATCCGACACCAGGACCCTACCAATGCCAGCGTGACCTCACCTTCACCTGATCCATTAATGATGACCTGGCTACAACCCCTGACGCAAGATGTCGGTGAACTCACATTTGCTGATCCGGTGTATCATACCACTGATCTTATAAACCTGGACGACATGCAGACGGATACAGGGGAAATCCTATTTGGCAACATGATCGATGTGGAAGTTGATGAAGATGATGAAGATGAGGCACCACCCCCTCAAGATAATGAACCGTTGACAGTTCAAGACATACCCGCACATGCTATAGAGCGACTGGTGGCTACCACTTTTATCTATAACCTAGACTTAAGCCTAGAGAGTCATTTCTATAACTTAGACTTAAGCCTAGAGGCCATATCTATAATGCTTAGGATTTTTTGAAAGGCATCTCAAATGTAGGCCTGGGTATTTCATAGTGAATTTTCCATAGATACCCAGCGCATTTTCTGCAAAATTTCAAATGCAGCCCTGGATTCATTGCGATTTTTCAATAGATACCCTTGGTATTTCATTGCGATTTTTCAATAGATACCCTGGGCATTTCATTGTGATTTTTCAAATGTATCCCTGGGTATTTCATTGTGATTTTTCAAATGTATCCCTGGATATTTCATTGCAAAATTTCAATGGATACCTGGTGCATTTCATTGCAATTTTTCAATAGATACCCTGGGCATTTCATTGTGATTTTTCAAATGTATCCCTGGGTATTTCATTGTGATTTTTCAAATGTATCCCTGGATATTTCATTGCAAAATTTCAATGGATACCTGGTGCATTTCATTGCGATTTTTCGATAAATACCCTGGGCATTTCATTGCAATTTTTCAAATGTATCCCTGGGTATTTCATTGCAATTTTTCAAATGTATCCCTGGATATTTCATTGCAAAATTTCAATGGATACCTGGCGCATTTCATTGGGATTTTTCAATAGATACCCTGGGTATTTCATTGCAATTTTTCAAATGTCTCCCTTGGTATTTCATTGCAATTTTTCAACAGATACCCTGGGCATTTCATGGCAATTTTTCAAATGTATCCCTTGGTATTTCATTGCGATTTTTCAATAGATACTCTTGGCATTTCATTGCGATTTTTCAAATGTATCCCTGGGTATTTCATTGCGATTTTTCAATAGATACCCTGGGTATTTCATTGCAAAATTTCAAATGTAGCCCTGGGCATTTCATTGCGATTTTTCAAATGGATTCCTGGGTATTTCATTGCGATTTTTCAATAGATACCCTTGGCATTTCATTGCGATTTTTCAAATGTATCCCTGGGTATTTCATTGCAAAATTTCAAATGTAGCCCTGGTGTTATGGTATTATCCTTCACATAGTACTTATACCCGCATCATACCTTTATTTCCCTCTCATCTCGTCTACTTCAGATACCAATCCCTTTATTCACTAACAAGTTATATCCATTTTTATTCTAAAGATCTAAAGTATCATGTACGCTTGAACCAAAGTGTTGTAGCCGAACACGACTAACTTGTGTTCACGCGACGCGACTATTTGACTCTATTTACCTAACTCCGAGAAAGCCAAACAAAGCTCCCATCCTAACAATGAACAAAGAACAAAGGACTTCCGAAAGTGCTAGTCGCGAATATGCTCGAAGGCTACGGAAGGTTCTCAAGTGTTCTTTAGGTATCTGGAACTTAAGTAAAGTATATAAGACATTGTAAAGTAGGGCATGAAGGATAACTACTTTTTACCCCAAACCTTGTGTGAACTTGAGATCTTAACAAAGACTAAGTGAAACCGTGTCCTTAAGTATTTGATAAAGCCCCGCGCTATCAATTACTTGATCAGTATCGTTAAAGTCCTAGTACTAACGATCCTGATATAGTACGTGTTTAAGCGCGTCGACACGCGTCACTTTGTGGGTATTGATATAAGCCGGAACTCACGTGATCTGGGAGTACTTCTCTATCAACTCGAACTTACGCGACGAACAGACTTCTGGTAAGTTTCATTCATATCGAAACAGCTAACGTATTTGTATTCAGAGCAATACACCAACGTTGAATTCGACGAACCCTAACACCTGGGCATTTCATTGCAATTTTTCAAATGTATCCCACATGTCAGGGTCCATGCAATGGGCTTCCCTGGAGAGTGGTCACATGACCAATTACCAAAAATGGTCAAAAACGAAAGTTGTAGCCCTACACTGTAGCTTCCCGAATCTGTTTGAATTATGTTCTGAAGTGCTCCCGTTGTGGAGATATGAGGTAAAGGAATTTCAAAAGCATTGCGTTTTTTTTTTTTTTTTGTGTTTTTCTCTATGAAAACAAAACCAAATAACATGATTTCAGTATATTCAGAAAGCTAAAAGAAAGGGCTACAATTATTGTATCGTGGGAAAAATGACCAAAAAAGGAAGGTGCATCCTGTACTACTTATAAGAATCAGATATAGACTACCAAGTTTACTGATAGACTACAAAAAAGTCGGACTTAGACTACACAGTTTACTGATATACTATAAAAGACTACAAAAGTCGAAATTAGACTACAAAGTTTACTAATACCCTACAAAAGACTACAAAAGTCGAACTTAGACTACAAAAGCGTGGACTTAGACTACATAGTTAGGGTTAGAGTCAAAAAGTTATCTTGACTACAAAGTTTGTAGTGTGCCCTTTTTCATTAAAAAAGTTTGTAGTGTCCGCTTTTTGAGACTACAAAAGTTGTAGTGTTGCGCTTTTTCATTAAAAAAGTTTGTAGTGACCGCTTTTTGAGACTACAAAAGTTGTAGTGTTGCGCTTTTTCATTAGAAAAGTTTGTAGTGTTGCGCTTTTTCATTGGAAAAGTTTGTAGTGTCCGCTTTTTCATTAGAAAAGTTTGTAGTGTCCGCTTTTTGAGACTACAAAAGTTTGTAGTGTTGCGCTTTTTCATTAGAAGAGTTTGTAGTGTCTGCCTTTTCATTTAAAAAAGTTTGTAGTTGACATGTAGTTTATGGTGTCCTTGGCCCTATCTATGTTATGGGGATGAGGTTGAAGGATTGCCATCATATTGCCAGTGCTGCAGCATTAGTATTTGACATCATGCACAAGTTGTCTTTCACAGTAGGAAAGGCCATTCCATGTCTTTCATATTGATACCTACTGTCCTATCTGAAGACATAATTGTAAGCTCATTGACATGACATGACCAGTTTTTGACATCATGACCAAGTTTGCATTTCATGCTGTCTGCTTTCACATTGATAACTACTGGCCTGTCCCAAACATAGTCAACTTTGATACAGGTCTTTGAGGGCTGTAGGATGATGGGCTGATTCATCCTTTGAGGTGTCTTGAAGACAGGTCATGTTGTAATTTGACCATGTATTGAGTAGATATCAACATGAATAGCCTTCTCCAGCTTGAAAGCCAACTTGGGCATGATGTGAGGAACTGATGATGTGGCAATATCAATATGTAAAGTCATGTCAATCCTTCAGCCATATCCCCATATGAGCTTACAATTATGTCTTGAGATAGGACAGTAGGTATCAATATGAAAGACATAGAATGGCCTTTCCTAATGTGAAAGCCAACTTGTGCATGATGTCAAATACTAATGCTGCAGCACTGGCAATATGATGGCAATCCTTCAACCTCATCCCCATAACATAGATAGGGCCAAGGACACCATAAACTACATGTCAA